TGAGGAGGGACAGTAAACTGAGCTCTAGTATGAGAGGATCCAGTATAGGTGGGGCTTGGGGTGGAGGGCACAGAGAGAGGGGCACTCTGGGAAGAGGCAGCAGCCCATGCAGAGGTCAAAAGCAGAGCCCAGGTAGGTGAGAGGGAGGTGTAGAAGGTTGGCCAGTGTGGCTGGAGTGTGGTTGCCCTGGGCAAGGTGGGGACAGCGGAGGTAGGGAGAGAGAAAGCAGCCAGTGAATAGTTTTATTCTGAGTGTGATGAGAGGGTTTTAAACAAAGAGGATGAGGACCAGAATTAGATTTTAGAAAGATTCCTCTGACTGCCTTGTGGATAACCATCCAGGACAAGGGTGGGGCCTGGGGAGGAACTTGGAGTGTGGGGGATGGAGCTGGGGGTGGATGGAGTTGGGAATTGGGAAAGAGCTGGGAGTATGGAGGTGGGAAACTGGTATGAGTGTGGGAAGGAAGAACTAGGGGTGGGGAGCTGGTTTGGGGGTTTGCTACGGAAACACCTAAAGGAAAGTCTTGGTGAGAGAAGCCAGTCTCTTACTCACATTAGAGACACTTCCGAAAGCTACTGTGAGCAGTAGTGGGTAAGTGGTCCAATTCTTGCCTTCCGTGTTAGAGACCAGGGTTTGAGTCCCGGCTAATGCTTCTCATGGAAACCCACAACTTGTCCATCACTGAAGATGTGTGTGTTGCTATGATACTGAGAAGGTTTTAGTGGAACTTCCAGACTAAGACAGACTAGGAGGAACAGCTGGAAATCAGCCAATGAAAGCTACTGATCCACAGCCTATCACGGTAATGGCTCAGGGCCCGGCAGTATTTTGTGCCCTTATATATGAGTTGGGGGAGCAATAGAAGCTTCAACCATGCAATAAAGGCCGCAGGTCCTTTTCCCAGGAAGAATGCACTGACTTATTAATGTGTCTGCCTGAGTATTTAATGTCAAGGTGGTCCCTTAATGCTCTGGGCGTCTCAGAACAGAAAGTGCTGGGCTGGCGGACTGAGCCCCTTCCCAGAGTGGCTGTGCTGTTGGCTTGCTGAGTCCTTGTGGCCACAGGGCCAGGACAGAGACTCCACAGTTTGAGGCCTGTGAGAGGAAGGGACCGCATCAGCAGTACAATGAGACGTTGGTTCTGGACGCTGAGGGGCTTGGTCTATGTGTCTGGCATGCTGAGAGAAGGGCAGGGCTGATCTGCAGATGCTGCAAAACTTCATCCAGGCCCCACTCAATGCAATCATTTAGAGCAGGGGTGGGGAACCTCTTTTCTACCAAGGGCCATCTGGATATTTATAACATCATTCACAGGCCAAACAAAATGAGCCACTTAAAAATTAGCCTGCACTCAATCCAAAATAAAAACATTTAATTAAAAAAAAAAAATTAGCCTGCTGTATTTGGTCAAACATTTAATTAACTTGTGGCCCTGTGGATTAATGTGCCAGACTGCAAAGCCGTTTGAACTGCAAGGCTGGCGGTTCAAGCTCACCAGTCACTCCTAGGAAACCCTATACAGGGTTGCTAAGGGTTGGAACCGACTCGATGGCATTTAACAACAACAATATGGTGGCTGGAACTGCAGTTGCCCTGGTAGGGCCAGAACAAATGATTTCACGGGGGCCTTATACAGCCTGCGGGCTGGACGTTCCCCACCTCTGATTTAGAGCATGGGTTCTCAGTGGGGATGATAAGCAAAACCCAAAAATCAAACCCATTGCTGTCAAGTGGATTCCGATGCATAACAACCTTATAACACAGAGGAGACTGCCCCATAGGGTTTCCAGGACTCCTGGTGTGGCGCTGTAGGATCAGCACTGGACTGGAAACCATGTGGTCGGCAGTTCGAACGCACCAGCTGCTCCTTGGAAACCCAATGCATGGTCACTATGACTCGGAACCAACTCAATGGCACTTAACAATAACAGATCTTTACGGATGCTGACTGCCTCATATTCCTCCCTTAGAGCAGCTGGTGGATTCAAACTCTCAACCTTTTGGTTATCAATGGAGTGCTTAGCCCAGTGCAACACCATGGCTCCTTATAGGTATGATCCTGCCTACAAAAAGTCCAAACCCACTGCCGACAAGTCGGTACCACTCATAGCAACCCGATACAGGGTTTCTATGAGTTGGAACCGACTTGACAGCACTTAACAAGGTCGGCGGTTCAAAACCACCAGCAGCTCTTCAGAAACCCTGTACAGGGTCGCTATGGGTCGGAACTGATTCAGCAACACTTAACAACAACAATAGGGTTTCCAAGACTGAATCTTTGTGGAAGCAGACAGCCTTATATTTCTCCTGAGGAGTGGCTGGTGGGTTTGAACTGCTGACCCTGAAGTTAGCCTAGTACCTAACTCACGGCTCCATAGGAGTAATGTTGTTGCTGTTAAGTGCAGTCAGGTCAGATCCCACTCATAGTGACCTTGTATAAGTTTCCAAGGAGTGACTGGTGAGTTTGAACAGTGGACCTTGCGATTCAAACCAGCCTTGCGGTCCAGTGTTTATCCTACAGCACCACACACAAGGGTAATAGTGCCTCAGAATTGGCTCCTGGTTGGGTGTGTGAACAAAAATGATAGATAGAGTACTGATTTGTGTGGCCCTCCCAGAAGGAGCTCTGGTAGCATAGTGGTTACGAAATGGGCTGCGAACCTTAAGGTCAGCAGTTCGAAACTACCAGCTGTTCGGTGGGAGAAAGATGAGGCGTTCTGCTTCCGTAAAGATTTACAGCCTCAGAAACCCTATACAGGGTCGCTATAAGTCAGAACCAACTCCACGGCACATAACCAGCCAGAGGGCACAGGACATGAACAGATAGGCTGCCTGTCTGCGGTATTAAAATGGCATGGTATTAAAGTGGTTAGGAAAAAAAGATCTAAAAATCCTCGTTATGGGGGTGATGGACTCACTAGGTGAAGTAAAGGGTTAACATACTTGGCTGCTTACAGAAGGATTGGAGGTTCGAGTCTACTCAGCATACGTTACCTAGGAAGAAAGTCTGACAATGTACTTCTGAAAAACCATCCAACCATCCACTGAAAATCCTGTGGAGCTCAGTGCTACTCTGACACACACAGGGGCGCCATGAATGGAATCTCCTTATGAAAAATCATCCACTGAACACCCTGTTGGACACAGTTCTCCTCTGACACACACAGGATACCATGCGTGGAATCTACCTATGAAAAATCATCCACCAAAAACCCTGTGGAGTTCAGTTCTCCTCTTACACACACGGGGGCGCCATGAGAGGAGTCTACTTATGAAAACTCATCCACTGAGAACCCTGTGAGCACAGTTCTACTCTGACACACACAGGGGCGCCATGAGTGGAATCTACTTATGAAAACTCAGCCACTGAGAACCCTGTGGAGCACAATTCTACTCTGACACACACAGGGGCGCCATTACTTGGAATCCATCTTGGTTTTACATGGGAGTGATGATGAGATCAAAATGGACAGATTCCAGTTTAGACACTGCACATTTTTCACGGGAGAAAAAAGTGTTAAATCAATAAAGAAGTTCAGGCTTTTAGTTTTGATGTGCTTATAAAATAGGCCTACATCAAAACATTTTAATTCTGCCTTGTTCCAACAAAGTAGACCCTAACATGTTGTAGTTTCTACTTCTTGTCGAGGTGATTCTGGTTCATGTTGACTGGAAGCGTGCAGAGTGGAATTACTCCACAGGGTTTTCATGGCTGTGACCTTTCAGAAGCAGCTTTCCAGGCCGGTCTTCCAAGACACCTCTGGATTCAAACCACCAACCTTTCAGTTCATAGTCAGGTGCTTAACCATTTGCACCATCCAAAGATTCCCACATATGATATAAAACATCTCTTTGTAAATCGCTTGTCAAGATGAACTTTTCACTCATTTAAACAGGATTGCCTCTTTGACTCTGGAAAATCAATAATCGTTCATTGCCACGGCCATCGTTGTATGTGGTCCTGATGTTGACCCCAGGGGCAGGCATTGCTGTCTGTATCCCACAGGTGAGGAAACGAGGCTCAGAGAAGGCAGGTAATGAGCACAGCCTATAAGTGGCTGACCCTGGCCTGGCACCCATGTCTTCTGGCCCCTGGTCCCCCACTATCCCCCACACCAAGTCCCCACACTCTGTGGAGATTAAAAAGGAAGAACATCAAACTTCTGATGGGTACTCATGTGTCCAGTTGTGCTCTGCAAGAAAAGCTTTACGACGTGGATAAGGTTGGATCCCTTCTGAGGCTGTCTGGGGAGGTTCCTAAGAGGGACCGTGACCTGGGTGTAGACTGATTCAATGTATTCCTGTGAGTTAGTTGGAAAATGCCCAGTACGATTGTAGTTGTAGAAGAGGTGTTTGCTATTCTTACTGTGCACGTCACTGGAGGGAGCTTGGTCTTGAGCCGCCCTTGGAGAGCTGGGCTCAGGAAGCACTCTTGCTCACAAGAGTGTGGGCCTCATCTGTCTCCTGAGACCAGGAAACTAAAAAAAAGAAGCCAGAGAAAAGGGAATGGAGTGACTTAAGCCACATTTCATGGCGTTGGTCTGTGACTTATTCTGGTTGAATCAGAGTTGATTGGATGGTACATTGTCTTCTTAATTAAATGAGTAATGCACTTGGCACAGTGTCTGACGCATAATGGTGTATGCGTAATTGTTGTTGGTGTATCGTGGAGTCAGTTCCAATTTATAGCAATCCTGAATAGGGTTTCCCAGGCTGTAAATCTTTATGGGAGCAAAAAGCCCCATCTGTCTCTCGCAGAGCAGGACTTGAACTGTTGACCTTTTGGTTAGCAGCCCAACGTGTAACCCACTACACCACCAGGGCTCCTGCAGTTAAGTGTGATCGAGTCAGTTCCAATTCATAACAGCCCTGTACAGGATTTCCAAGGAGCAGCTGGTGGCTTTGAACCGCCAACCTTGTAGCTCGCAGTCCATAATAGTGCTATATAAATGTTACTTGCTCTTATTCTAAGCCTGTCCTGCATTTGACTTTCAGGGGCTTGCCCACCACCAATGATGCCCACCCCTTAGTGCAGTTGAACCACGTTCTATAGCCAAGATGGTGGTCCAGAGACTGATCCATTCCCTGAGACCATGATGGAAGAGACCCCTCCAGGCCCAAAGATGGGGAACATCACGGCAGACAACTCCTCAATGCACTGCGCCATTGACCATACCATCCACCAGACGCTGGCCCCAGTGTTCTACATCACAGTGCTGGTGGTGGGCTTCCCAGCCAATTGCCTGTCCCTCTACTTCGGCTACCTGCAGGTCAAGGCCCGGAACGAGCTGGGTGTGTACTTGTGTAACCTAACTGTGGCAGACCTCTTTTACATCTGCTCTCTCCCCTTCTGGCTACAATACGTGCTGCAACATGACCACTGGCCACATAGCAACCTGTCCTGCCAGGTGTGCGGCATCCTTCTCTATGAGAACATCTACATCAGCGTGGGCTTCCTCTGCTGCATCTCCATCGACCGCTACCTGGCCGTGGCCCATCCCTTCCGCTTCCACCAGTTCCGGACCCTGAAGGCAGCCGTTGGAGTCAGTGTGGTCATCTGGGTCAAGGAACTGCTGACCAGCATCATCTTCCTCATGCACGAGGAGATCAATGTGGATGAGAACCAACACCATGTCTGCTTTGAGCACTATCCCATCCAGCCCTGGCAGCGCAACATCAACTACTACCGCTTCCTGGTGGGCTTCCTCTTCCCCATCTGCCTGCTGCTCATCTCCTACCAGGGCATCCTGAGGGCCGTGCGCCGGAGCCACGGCACCCAGAAGAGCCGCAAGGACCAGATCCAGAGGCTGGTGCTGAGCACCGTGGTCATCTTCCTGGCCTGCTTCCTGCCTTACCACGTGTTGCTGCTCGTGCGCAGCGTCTGGGAGTCCAGCTGCGAGTTCGCCAAGAGCGTCTTTAACGCCTACCACTTCTCGCTGCTCCTCACCAGCGTGAACTGCGTAGCCGATCCCGTGCTATACTGCTTCGTCAGTGAGACGACCCACAGGGACTTGGCCCGTCTCCGAGGGGCCTGCCTGACCTTCTTCACCTGCTCCAGGACTGGCCGGGCCAGGGAGGCCTACCCGCTGGGCGCCTCTGAGGTCTCTGGGAAGAGCGGAGTGCAGGACCAAGAGCCCGAGTTATTAGCTAAGCTCCATTTAGCAGCCTTCCAGACCCCTGACTCACCAGGAATGGGAGGGTCCCCCACAGGTGGCTTGGCCTAGTCTGAGTCACCTATGTATGGGGCTGCTTGAGGCCTGAGCCTTCCACCAAGGAACCTCATGGTCCTGAGCTTTCTCGCTGGCTGCATCCCGCTTTGCCAAATGCAGGTGCCTCTTCCTGCTGGAGAGGGATGGGCCTGGGTGCTGGGTGCTGGGTATGAGCTGGGCTCAGCAAGGTCTCTCCGGCTGCAGGAAGTCTGCTGAGCTCCTGGGGTTGTTGGCTGTTGGCTCCTGGAAACCTCTGCTGTCAGCTGTCATGCTGCACAATGCACGGTTATGGGAGGAGGTCAGTGAACGGTCCCTTTTCAAAGAGAAGCTGGGGCTGGGGGGGTCAATGTGAGGACATGGGGGTGAGGGGTGGGGAGATGAGGGTGTTTCTGGCCCCTCCCACAACACCTGTGTCACAGGTAATACCTGTTCAAATGCACCAGTGCTATCTGAGGTGACATGAAAACTCTACTGTCATCATTAACACATGCACCTCTTCTTAAGACAGGGGAGGAGGAAGGTGAGGACATGGGGCACCATGAGTGTGAGTATATGGGGGTGACAGATGGAGGAGAGACCCCCAACTCCAACCACCTCACCATTTCACAGGGGGACTTGAGCCGCTTCATTTTGGGGTTGGGCCTTCTCAAGTCTGGGGGCTGATGGAATATGGCCCCCAGGGCTTCCCAGGGTGAGTTCTGTAATCCCCTCACAACTCAGTGCTGAAGCTCAAAGGCAAAACAAAGGTCTGGAGATACCGAGGCCATAACCAAGCCCCCAAAGATTTCTCCTCACCACGGCCATCTCTGTCTGCCTGGAAACACCAGGCCTGGAGCCCTGGTGTGCACGCATGTGTGTATATGTGGTGCACATGTGGGTGTATTGTGCATGTGTGTAGGTTATGTGCATGCACATACATATATGTGGGTGGGTGTGTATGGTGCATGTGGGCGTATATGTGGTGTGTGTAGGTATGTGTGTGAGGGTGTGGATGCTGGGTATGTGTGTACTGGTGTATATGTGGGTCTGTGTATGTTGGTGTGGATGGGTATGTGTGGGTACAGTGTGTGTGTGTGTATGTGGGCATGTGTGTAGTGTTCATGTGGATGTGTATTAGATATGTATGGGTGTGGATGCTGGGTATGTGTGTGTGCTGGTATATGTGTGGGTCTGTGGATGTTGGTGTGGATGTGTATAGGTTGGTATGGGTGGTTGTATGGTACAATGTGTACGTATGTAGGCATGTATGTATGTGGGCATGTATGTATGTGTGCATGTTGGTTTGGATGGGTTCGCTTGGTCACTGTGTTATGTGTACATGAGGGTGCATGTTGGTGTGTGTGTGTGCATGTTGGTGTGGATGGCTGTGTGTGTGTGCAAGTGTGTATATAGATGCATGTGTATGTGCGCACAGTGGTGCATATATTGGTGTGTGTGTGTGCATGTTGGTATAGATGGGTATATGTGGTTACAGATGATGTATATGTAGCCAGGTGTGTGTGTGTGTGTGCTCACAGTTAAATTTCCAGGGTGTCTATGACAAGCATGTGCCAAAACACTGAGGTTAGGGTTATGTGACTGCTGGTGATGTCCCCCAGTTTTGCCCACTGGAATAGATTTCCCACTTTTCTTTCTCCCCTGTGGGACGTGACATTCTTCCTGAGTTCTCAAATACACCACAACAGACATGCGACAACACAAACACAACAGATGCACTCGCTGGTCTCATCCCGCCCTAAGGCCTGGGACTTGGCTCATGTGACAGAGGTGGATATGGCCCTCGGCTCACCTTTCCCCTTTGGTCTCCATCACTGCTCTTCCGCAGATGTCCCTGTTGGCCCCCGGGAGAGAAACAGTGGCTTGTGGCCTACCTAAGTCAGGGTACAACCCCCACCCATGATCCATCCTTCCAAGGTGGATACTGGGCTCATTTCTCCTGAAACTTGGTGTGTGACCATGTTGAGGTTTCCCATCTCCTCCCCTCTCCACTCCCCATCACCATCCTCTCCAGAGTCGCTCCATAGGGCCCTTCAGCCTCATCCTACTTGGTTACGTCCACAGACTTTGCTTGTACAACATGACCAGGCATGTTCCCTGTCTTGGTGAACCTACCAAGGACCAGGAGAACCATGTGCTGCTCATGATGGGAAGGCCCGTCACCTTGACAGGAACGCTGGCTCTTTGGATGTCCTGGTCAGTGGGCTGACTCTAGCACTGACTTCCCAGGACATACTCTCAGAGGCTGGGAGTCTGGTTCCTCTGAGCCAAGGAGCTGGGGGGCTCAAACCTGGGGAGGGAGGGGAAACCTGCTTTCCACAGAACATTTTTAAAACCTGCTCAGGGCTGGGACAGGGAGGATTCCCTTCCTCAGCCTCTTTCCCCTCTCCTTCCCGCACTCCAAGACGTTTACCCTTGGTCTCTTAACACGTCTCTTGGGGTGCCCAGGGGCACGGAGCTTACACTGGGGTACCCCAGGGAAGGACAGTGACTGAGTACCTTGGGACTACATTTGGCTTGCCTGGACAGCCCCTGCCCCAGCTCCTTATGAAAAGTCCTCTTCCCTTTCCTAGTGGAGGAAGTGACCAGGTTTGGAGGTAGCAGAAATGGCTACAAGTCAAGGAAAGCCCACTCAGCTCCAGCCCAGGATCCAACTGGAACCCGACCCAATCCCCCACACTCCCTCATTCCACCGCCCCATTGCTGTTGAGTCGATTTTAACTCATCGCCATCTTCCAGGACTGAGTGGAATTGCCCCATAGGGTTTCCTAGGCTATAATCCAGTGGGTTGGAACCACAAATCTTATGGTTAACAGCTAAGAAATTAACCACTATACCACCAGGGGTCCTTCATTCCTCAGTATCCCTGTCCATCCCAACCCCTATGTTGACAGTATCCACTGGTGTTCCCACTGGGATGAGCAGAGAGCCATTGCATTTATTATCAAGAGTTGTATTTTTGTATTGTCCTTCTTTTATGCCAAGTATACATGTGTTGGATCGTGCAATGGATTTGTGTAGCAAATAAAGCAATGTAACAACCAGGAAATCACTGGAGTGGCTTGCAGTCCATATGGAGAGGGTGTCTTTCACCCCCATAGCATCAAGAGGACCCTGAAACATCCAAAGGAGTCAGGGAGGTCCAAGGATTGACCTCACAGAAACCTGAAACCAAGCAATTGAGGGTCTTGTGTTTTTTAACTGATCACCCAGCTAGTGATCTACAACCATACCACCCTAAATGTGCCCATTCCCGTCTGATCTTGGAAGCTAAGCACGGTCGGGCCTGGTTAGTATTTCGATGGGAGATCTTCTAGGAATACCAGGCGCTGTAGGCTGTAAGGAGTCCTGATGTGGTGCTGTGGGTTAATGCACTAGACTACAAAGTTGGTTTGAACCACAAGGTCGGTGGCTCAAGCTCACCCACCTCTCCTTGGAAACCTTCTATAGGGTTACTATGGGTTGGGACTGACTCGACGGTACTTAACAAACAACCACCACCCAGCTAGTAACAAAGGAAGAGCAAGCTCTTGGTGAAGTAGAGGCGTCTGTTCCTTGTCTGGAGATTCACAAAGCGTCATCTAGTTCTTTGGCAGGTTCTGGTAAATCCACTCTAGACTCTAACTTGGCCACCACACACTCCAAGCCCGAGTTCAGCTCCATGGTTTACAGAATATCACTCCTTTGTCCCTGGCACATGGCCCTTTTGCCTGCTAAGTGATTGCACCCCACAATGAAGGAGGGGTTAATCAGGTAATTTCCTCCTCACGAAAGCTTTCCCAAACAGCTCTGAGGAGGGCTTGTGGTCTCCTGCATGACTCTGTTTGGTTGGGAGAGACCCACATTTGCTGCCAAGCCCCTTTAGGATGGAGTATCTTCTCAATGGTGACAGACTCCATGTTTACTGCTGTGGATTAACTGTGTCATATGAGATGTAAATTCAGTTTTAGTTACTTTAATCCCTCTCTGGGTCAGGCTCCTGGAGTCCTGGAATGTTGCGGAACAGTGGATCCTTCTTCCAGACAGACTTAGTGAGGACAGTACTAAGGGGATTACAACTCCTTTTTCCCCTGAGGGAGTGGGTGGACGAAAAAGTCCATCTGGTTTGGACTGAAGGTGGCAGAAGCTATTAGATTCCTTTCTTATTCACTAGTGTTGCTTCATAAGCAAAGGTTCATCTTCCTGATTATGTACACACTCATCTGTGGGTTGGCTAGACAAGAGTTGGAGAACATTTCAGCACAGAATACATCTCCATCTGCTGTCTTCCTCCATCTGGTTCAACCTAGAAAGATCCAGAATCCGGACCTCCTGGTTTAGTGTTTTACTAGAAAACAGCTTCTCACAGCTGGTGACCCTGAAGCCACCTTTCCTGGAATAATTCATCACTGGAGTCACTTGGTCTTTCAGGTTCTGGTAACATCGGCACTGGACTGCAACCCAAAAGGCTGACAGTTCAAACCTACCAGCCGCTCCTCAGAACCCCCATATAGGGTTGCTATGAGTTGGAACCAACTCGACAGTACTTAACAATAACAACAACTCTCTCAGTTTTAAACCTTCCAAGTTCATTTTAGGCAAGACTGGATTATACTGTGGTTAGTAAATAAAACCCTCACATCACAAACTTAGAATAAGAAACGTTACTTTTGTTTAGACAAAGCCTGAGGGGCTTCAATTTTTGACAAGTCTTTTCCCCAAATGATAAAAGTGATTCAGAATCCATCCATTGAGAAATTCCATTATCTTGGCGTCTTCCCTCCCATCCACATAGGAAGGGACAGCAGCCCCAAGAAAATCTCACGGGAAGTTATGGCCAGGCCTGGAAGTGATTGATATCCCTACTACTCACATTCCATTGGCCAGATTCCAGTCACATGTCCCCAACCTAACTGCAAGGGAACCTGGGAAATTTATACAGCAAGAGGAAACAATTGGTGAGCATCTGACCAGTCTCTGAAGACAGCTCTTAGGGCCACCTCCACTTGATGGGTTGTCAGTGCTTACAGTCCTGTACCTTCATCTGAACCAAATCCACTTCTTCAAATATCATGCCCACACCTGAGCTAGACTAGATCTGCCTGACCCCCACCAAGGAGAATGGGACCATTCATTTACCTCATGCACTTCTATCGATGCATCGGCTTTTCGGCAAGTGCTACACATCACCGACAAACTCAGAGTATGGAAGAGCTCCGGGTAAGCAACATCTTTGACATCCTGCTTGTAGCAGTTGGTTTTTGTGTCTGAGAGTCAGAGTTTGTGATAGGGCCAATTGATCCAAGATGGGATGGGCAGGAACTGGCAGAATGCAGTGGGCTACAGGAAGTTGGGGCTGTTGTCAGAAAACGACCTCAGAGGAATGCCGTGCCCAGCTCACTTGGCCAGAGGACAGCCAGGGAGTTAAGTGCCCGGACCTGCTATCTGGCTAGCTTGCTTTGAAAGTCGTCACTTCCTGCAGGGGTCTGCTTGGCTGCAATCTCCAGGCTGCCCTCAAATACCCAGAGTGCATCTGCTTACATTAACCAGGACCCCTCTCCAACGTTCTTAGAAACCCCCAGGCTACTGCACATCCCACAACTCCATACTGGCTGACACCCCAGCTAGCTTCTCACCCTGGACGCCTGCCCCCCACACTCCATAGGTCACTCTTGTCCTCCTGTAACCAGCAGCTCCAGACTGTAGTCACATCCAGACAGGGTCTCAGGTCCTTCCCCCAAACCAAGCCAAGCCAAGGGCAAACTTGAGCAAAGCTTTCATACAGAAGATATCCGAGAGGAATCATAGGGTGGAATGGGAAACTCTTAAGTCAGCATTCCAAAGACTCTTGGACTGGGCCCTGCTAAGGGGTCTTCTCCTGGGCCTCTCTTGCACCTTAGCCCCTGTTTACTCACCTTGTTGTAGTGCCTCAGGCTGATCCTTCCCTAAAGAGAGGACTTTGGACACTCCAGTCAGGATTCCCAACCCCAGTCTTCTCTGAGCCCAACCCGGTTCTCAACATTTTTCCCAGACCACGGAATCATTTCCTCATAAATTTCAGCACATGGTGAAGAAAATCTGTTACATAGTTATGGCTCAAACTTCTCCATGCTAGAATAGAATATTCTGTGTGGCACTGTGGGTTCATGCACTGAACTGTAAGGTTGGCTTGAACTGCAAGGTCAGTGGTTCAAGCTTACCAGCCTCTCCTCGGAAACCCTATACAGGGTCACTGTGGGTCGGAAATGACTTGACGTCACTTAGCAACAACGCCAACTATTGCAAAACTAAAGGTCTACTAGTATCATCCTTCAAAATATGAGTCAGACAAGTATTGGCAGTGTGACCATAGCTCTGCCTTCTCTCTCCTAGTCATCAAGATTTCAGAAAGGTCAAGGGATGCTGTCCACTGGAGATGCTCATTACACACAGTCCTGAAACAGGACAAAATGATACTTGGGGTAATTGGAAAAAACCTGGCTGAAGATACTTTTAGGCTGATATAGGGAAGTGCTGAGAAGCCTCAGATAGGGGGACTAGTTCTTGCTACAGTGGTTGTATCAACTCGGATGGCACAGAGGCAGTCCCAGTCCTTGTTGGTGGGAACTCCTCCCGAGAATGACAGAGAGAGATCTGGATATGGACCCCAACTGGGTGAGGAGAAGTGGACGCCAACGAAGCAGCATCTCATTGGGCAGCCAGGCTTTATTGCTGAGTGTGCGGAAGAAAGTAAACTTCCGTAGCATGTCTTATCAAACTACAGCATGATGAAAACGTTATGGAGATGGATTGTAGTGATGTTGTATGATGTTATGAGTGTAACTGTTGTTGTTAGTCGTTCATACTCATAGCAACCTTATGCATGAGAACGAAAATATTGCCACCACCCGTCAGTTTGTTCTACTGTGTGTTTCTGTGATGCTGGAAACAACGATGCCACTGGTATCTCAAATACCAACATGTGGCTGGATTGCAGCAGAACTTCCAGACTAAGACTAGGAAGAAAAGCCTGGCGATCTGCTTTCTGAAAATTAGCCAATGAAAACCTCATGGATAGCACTGTGAATGTAACTAACACCACTGAACTGTGTGCTTGAAATGGATCAAATGACAAGTTTTTTTGTTATGTTTGCTTCAGTGGAGTCCTGGGGTGGTACTGTGGGTTAATGAGCTGGACTCCAAAGTCCATTTGAACTGCAAGGTTGGAAGTTTAAGCTCACCAGTCACTCCATGGAAACCTTACACAGTGTTGTTATGGGTTGGAACTGACTCAACAGTACTTAACAACAACATGCTTCGCTACAGTAAAGCATTAATTTAAAAAAAATTTTTTTTTTTTTTAAATCAAACTAGATATTTTAAATGAAATAAAATAAAACTAAGCAAACCCAACAACCATTTGGGTTTTTGACTGGGAAGCAAGACTTCCTCCTTCTGGAAGAGTCAGCAATGGGCTGCTATTGGACAGGTCCAATACTGAAGAGCTAGAGGAATCTGGTCAGTGAGATGGGGTAGAAATGTCACAAGAGATGGTCACTGGCTCAGTCTCGAATTTTGTTGGGGAATGCGCATCAGGAGGTGGTGAGGGAGACACGACAAAGTGGACTAGGGTTGTCAAGACAGATTCAGGATGACAAGAGCTCTAGACCCTCCTGAGACTCCTACAGGATTTGTGACAAGTTGCCTGAGCCAGGATTCTCAGTGGTGCAGTAGTTAAGACAGTAATCTCCCATGATGAGGTCTAATACAAAGGAATCAACTCCATTAGATCTGCTAAGAACAGCCAATCAATTGAAAGGAAGTTTTCTCAGGGATGTGGCCTGTTTCCATGGACTGACCACTCAGGCAAAGCTTGCTTGATTTTTGCTGAGTCTGGATCCTGTGTCTGGCTCGTCATCTGACCACCAGTTGGTTGGACTTGAGCCAGCGGCCTGCTGTATTGCTTGCCAATCCTGGGAGTTGTCAGTAGCCAGCCATCTCAATTGCCGACCTTGAATTCATTCTCTTCTGCAGCCAGAAGCCTGCCTCTGGTCTGCTGATCTTGGCTTCTTCAGTTCCTGCAACTTTGTGAATCAGGAAAAGCCTTTAGCCTGCCATGGTCATAGACTAGGAACTTGCCCACCTTTACGATTCCGTGTGCCATTTCCTTGATATAAACTTCTGGAACTGGTTTTGATTCTCTATAGAACCCAGCCCAAGACAGAGCTCAAGGTGGCAGGTGACAGGCTGTGGGTGGGGCTGAACTGTTGGGGAGGAAGTGGAAGGAGGTGTCAGACTGTGGGGGTGAGGGGGTGAGAAGGAGTGGGGAAGAAGGGACTTGAGGGAGAAATGGTGATACATGTAAAGTCCAAAGGAGCTTTTGCCAAAGTAAAATAAAATACTGTTCAAACCACAGAGCTTTTTAAAGGTAGAGATATTTGAGTCGGTGACATGAGTAAATCTTTAATAAAGCCCCAAACCTTCCTAAGTCTACATCATTCCTATGCTGGTCCATTTTTAACCACTTCTTATTCAACCTGGGGGCTGATCTATGGCAGTGATAATGTCTACTCTTGGACTCTGCCCAGGACTCAGCCTTCACCGGCATCCCCCATAAATGACTGGCCAGAAGCTTTGAAGAACAGACCACGTGGTGCTCTGAAGAAACCTGGAGGAAAGAGGGCTGAAACCAATGCCTCCAGCAAGGCCCACGATGATGCCATCTGATGGCATGCAATTTCCCAACACAGGCCAGTGCAGAGTTTGGTGCTAACCCAGACCGGTACTTATTTGTAAGGCTGTTGTGGAAGGAAGCTGGGGGCCCTCAGGGAATGGAGCCCTGGACCCAGGGATGGCCATCTGGTGCGCAGTCCACACACGGGACGTGGACGGTCACGGGTGCACCCCAGTGACGTTTAGCAGCTTCTGGATCATCTCTGTGTGAGTGGTGTGGAAGGGCAGCCCGTCCACCTCCATGCCCACGACACCCGAGACGCCACTGCGGACTTGGTGTTTTACCAGGATGCGTAGCATTTTTTCTTCCTGGAAAAAACAAAATGGAGCACAGGTACAAGCAGTGGTTGTTGTTGGTGGTGAAGCAGAGTCCATTTTCGACTCTAGCAACCCCAGGTGACCGAGTAGAATTTGCCCCATAGGGTTTTCTAGGCTATAATCTTTATGAGAAGGAGCTCTGGTAGTGTAGTGGTTACGAATCGGGCTGCGAACCTTCAGTTCAGCAGTTCGAAACTACCAGCTGTTCCATGGGAGAAAGATGAGGCTTTCCGCTCCCGTAAAGATTTACAGCCTCAGAAACCCTGTACAGGGTCGCTATGAGTCGGGACCAACTCCACGGCACATAACCTCCACCAATCTTTATAGGAGCAGATTGCCAGATCTTTCTTCCTTGGAGCAGTTGGGTAGGTTACGATCCCTAGCCTTTCAGTTAACAGCCGGACACTCCAATAATTGCTCCTTAGAAATGGTGGAGGGGACGTAAAAAAAAAAAAATAATAGGTACTTTTATAAGCAAGTTTGTATTTGACTCCATGCATTCTCTTAATAAAAATAAGATTTTGGTTTAAAATATAACAGTACTGAAAATCTCGTGATGGAAAATAATAGACTCCCCTCCCGGAGTCCTGGTGTGGTGCTGTAGAATCAGCACTGGACTGCTAACCACAAGGTTGGTGGTTCGAACCCAGCAGCTTCTCTGTGGAAACCCTATACAGCGTTGCTATGAGTCAGAACTGACTTGACGGCACATAACAACAACAACATCACCACTCATCAGCCCCCAGGTCCACTCCCAGAAGCAGCTGTTTTGAGTGGTTTGGGCTGTTTTTTCAAGAAGTTATCGAAATAATATCCCTTTATGAGGTTGTGATGACTGTTAAAGGAGCTCTGGTAGCGTAGTGGTTACGAATCGGGCTGCGAACCGCAAGGTCAGCAGTTCGGAACTACCAGCTGTTCCGCAGGAGAAAGATGAGGCTTTCTGCTCCTGTAAAGATTTACAGCCTCAGAAACCCTGTACAGGGTCTCTATGAGTCGGAAACGACTCCGTGGCACATCACAACAACAACAATGGGGTTGTGGTATGGTACTGCAGGTTAAGAACTGGACTGTTAACCAAAAGGTGGATGGTTCAAATCCACCAGCCACTCTTCAGAAACTCTATACATAGTTGGTTTGAGTTGGAACAAACTTGGAGATACCTCACAACATGACTCTTCTCTATTAATCAATATTAGCCATTATCTACTTACTTCCTGCATGAAAAAGATTTTTTTTTATTTTTATGCTGTCCCACCATCTCCTTTATCCTCTTAATATACAGTGAAACCTGGGTAAGGCAGAAATCTGTCAGAGAAGGAAGGCTCAACTAGTTCCCAGTAAGATGAATGATAGAAAAGTGGGGTAAAAATGCCAAAGGCGGAAACATTTTGAGACCTGGAAAATAAAGCTGTCTAGTTGAGCTCTGGTAGTGTAGTGATTACGAATCGGGCTGCGAACCGCAAGGTTCCGCGGGAGAAAGATGAGGCTTTCTGCTCCCGTAAAGATTTACAGCCTTGGAAACCCTGTGCAGGGTCGCTATGGGTTGGAATCGACTCCACGGCACTTAACAACAACAACAGTTGAGTTCTGGTCCTCACAAGTTTCACTGTAGCTTTATCATCATTTTAATTAAATGAAAGAACGGAGTGGTAGGTAGAATAATAGCCTTCCAAAGATATCCAGTAGCCTCATGTACATGTGAAAGCTGGATAGTAAATAAGGAAGACTAGAAGAATGGATGCATTTGAGTTATGATGCTGGAGGAGATTAAAAGTACCACATCTGTGTTGGAAGAAATATACCCCGAATGTTCCTTAGAAGCCAAGATGGTCAGACTTGGTCTCTCATACATTAGACATATTATCAGGAGGGACCATTCCCTAGAGCAGGGCATCATGCGTGGTAAAGTGGAGAATCAGCAAAAAAAGAGGAGACCCTCAACAAGATGGATTGGCACAGTGGGAGCGACAATGGGCTCAAAATGTAGCAGCAATTGTGAGGATGGCACAGGAATGGGAAGTGCTTCATTCTCTTGTACACAAGGCCTCTATGGGTTGGAAATGATTCAATAGCAATTAACAAAGACATCCATCTTCTAATCTGTAGAACCTGTGAATGTGTTCCATGACAAAAGGGGAATTGAGTCTATGACCTTGAGGCTGCCCATCAGCTAACCTTAAAATGACAAGAGTAGGTTATCTTGGCTTATCTAGGTGGACCCCAAGTCATCAGTCACACACACAAAACCATTGCCACTGAGCCAATTCTGAGTACAGAATAGAACTGCCTCATAGGTTTCCAAGGCTGCAGTCTATATGAAATCAGACTGCCAAATAGTTCTCCTGCAGAGCAGCTGCTGGGAACCAGCAACCTTTAGGTTAGCAGGCAAGCACTTAACCACTGCACTACAATGGTCCATTACACAGTCACAAGGACCAAGATCCTTAAATGTGTTAGAGGGAAGCAGAAGAGTCAGAGTCATAAGATATCAGGAAGATTCAACCAGCCAATCCTGGCTTTGAAGATGGAGGAAGAAGGCCATGGCCAAGGAATGGGGATGGAAGGGTAGCCACTAGAAGCTGGAAAAGGCAAGAAAACAGGTTCTTGAAGAATCAGGTTGGAGGCCTGTCACTCCCCGACTTCAAAATTTACTACATGGCTACAGTGCTCAAAACAGCTTGGTAGTGGTACAATGAAAGATACATAGATCAATGGAACAGAACTGAGAATCCAGAAATTAACGCATCTACATACAGCCAACTGATTTTTGACAAAACACCTAAAT